TTTTGTTAAAACGTTTATTTTAAAATACCAGGAAACAAAGACAAATGAATAACAGCCTGGTTTGACCTTTAACCCCAGCTCTCCTCCACATTCCAAGTCCACCTCCCTGCAGCAAACAGGAAGGGGCGGGACGGACCGCTGTCAGTCTCTTACCTTATTTGGAAATGGGACCATTGCACTCCGGAAGTGAAGGGGGCGCTATTTCCTATATTATCAGCGTTCTCCCGTTTAAATTTTCTTTTGAAATCTGTGATGTAGCTTCATCTGTAGGAAGGAGTTTTACTCTCAGCATGTATTTCACCGTCTCTTTTTTATTTACTTCAGCGCAGCTCACAGCTTTTACCAAATTCCATAGCTTGTACTTCTAAATCTGCTTCTTAGTTGCATCTTTTCGAGCCTGCTACTGCCTCTAGTGGCGTGGGGGTGGTAAGACAACTAATATAATTATGTCACTAAACGAGAATACCACAAAATCTTTATTATTTACTATTAATTTCGCCATTACTGGTAAAGTGAAAGATAAATTATCTTCTAAAATACCATATTTTTCTTCAGGATGTAGAGCTAATTAGGTAATTAGGACATAAACAACACCTTTATACATAATAAATAATATCTATATATCTCCATCACTTATAGGAGGAAGAAAAGAAATAAAACATGAAAAACAACATTATCAACAACAATAAAAATACCATATACAAAATATACATAAGAAATTTAACTGAGCAAAAGTCAATAACGAACAAATTAATTAGGTTCACAGATGAATAACCAGGGTTGTTAAACAAGCAATAATCCACATTTTTGTTTTGTTGGTAGAGTCCTATATATAGGAAAAATATGATTATTTAGTCTTCCACGGTGGAAATTTTTCTTTGACTCTAAAACAATAAAATAAAATTCATTAATAGAATCACAATATCAACAATTTGTGCATCAAGTAAACACTTAGCATGCTACAGGTAAATGTTATCATTTAGTTTGGCTAAGAATAATTATTGCACTGTCAATGAATGACTTCTAATAGATGTTCTATAGTTACCAGAAGAACACAAAAAAGAGGATGGATGCTCTAAACAGTTTAGACAGAGATGTTTTTGGTTTCACCACCATTTACCTACTATTTTTCCAAGTATTCTTAAAAGATTGTCTGTTAGTCTGCAGCTCATGTGACCAAACCAGCCGAGAAGATGAAAAGCTAAAACACTCAACAGTTAAAACTTGAGATGACTTAAAACATAAGTTAAATTTTTAAGTTTTAACATTTTAACTAATTGTTAAAATGTTAAATTACTTAACTAGAGGTAATGTTGGCTAATGTTACCTCTAACTAACTAGAGGTTTTGCACGAGTTGCACTTAACCCCAAGATCACTGGGTCTTCTTAAAAGATAGAGACGTTTCTTAAAAATGTTGTCAGTGTTTTCAGCAAAGTTGAGCTGACTGTCCAGGAATGATCCAAGGTATTTAAAATTTGCCGTAGTTTCAACAGGTTTTCCAACGAGTGAAACTGGAACCACTTTCAGGTTTTGTTTATGTCATTTAATTAGCTCTACTACATTAAGAAAATTAAAAGGTATGGTGTTTTGTGAGGGACTTTATCTTTTGCGGTTCTAGTTATGCGAGAATTAATAATACATAATAAAAACTTTGGTATTCTGATTTAGTAATGTATTTATATTAGTTGTGCTACCACCACCACGCCACTAGAGGCAGTAGCAGGCCCGAAAAGATGCGACTAAGGAGGAGCTGCGCTGAAGTAAATAAGAGAGAAGTTCAAATATATGCTGAGAGAGAAACTCCTTCCTAAAGATAAAGTTAAATCAGAGATTTAAAAAGAAAATTAAAACGGGAGACCGCGGATAATATAGGACATAGCGCCCCCTTCACTTCCGGAGTGCAATGGTCCCATTTCCAAATAAGGTCTGAGACTGCCAGCGGTCCGTCCCGCCCCTTCCTGTTTGCTGCAGCGAGGTCCTTCTCCCACATTCTGTCCAGATTTTATTCTCCATCCTCCTAGAACTAGAACTCATAGATAGTTCATTCCTCATCACTTCTGTTGCTAACTAACCAAGCTCTTGATTTGAAATGCTGGAACTTTATCAGACCGGTCCGGTTGTTGTAACTCCGGTCCGGTTCGGTCCGGTCCGGTTGTTGTAACTCCGGTCCGGTTCGGTCCGGTTGTTGTAACTCCGGTCCAGTTCGGTCCGGTTGTTGTAACTCCGGTCCGGTTCGGTCCGGTTGTTGTAACTCCGGTCCGGGTCTATAGAGGCAGAAGCTCTGGATTTTTTAGGTCCACAGTGGAGGTTCTGCTCTGATCAGAACCAGGCAGAAGAAGCAGCTCAAGTGGGACTTCAGATCTGGTTTCATCCGGACAGTTCGGTTCCTGTCCAGGAAGTAGACTGCTCCGGTTCTGCTGCTCACCAAGAGCCTGAAAGGTCAAAGGTCATTATTGAATTTTAACTCCAGAATTCAGATATTTTCTCTCCAGCATGTTTTCCTCTTCTGAGTGAATTCATCCAGAAATGATCATTAATCTGAGCTCTAATCTGCTTCAGATCATAATCAGATTTAATCCTGTTATTTTCAGACCAGCTGAAGGAAAACTGGAGAATCCAGAGCAGATCTGGATGACGAGTCGGTCACGATTCGCCAAATGTGTGTGTGTGAGTGAGTGTGTGTTGCAGCAGCTTCATCAGAGAGAACACACTCACTCGTTACAAGTTTCCTTCACTACTCAGTTTATTTAGCAGAAACAGATTTCTATACAACATTTACAGTCAGAACCAGAACCTCCTTCTCCTGGACGCCTGACCCAGTGAGGTCATGACCCTAGGACTGGTCGGCGCTGTCGGGTCGGCTGACCTTGGCCAGATCTCTGAAGGACACGGTGGCGGAGCCGCGGCGGGCCGGCTTGGCCTGCAGGAACCACGGAGCAGAAAACCGTTTTAATGTTTTTATGGACGTTTCCAAACCTGCTCTTGGGTTTTCCCCGTTTGGTTTATTAACTCAACTACGGAAAGAAGATCCTGCCAAAACTGTGAATGTGGAAATAAATAAATGGCTTCAAAAAGTAATTCATAAGATGGAAGGGGGTCTCAATCTTAAAATATTATTTTTGGGCAGCTCAGTTAAAGACTTTAATTTCATGGATCCAACAGGATTCTCAAACAAGATGGCTGAGCATCGAGCAAGCAAAGTGCTCAGTACCACTAAAGGTCAGTACCTTTAGATATTCCAGTAAAGGAACTGCCATTGTGGACTAAAACCACACTTGACATTTGGAACAAAGTACAAATTTCTTTCAAGCTACCAAGAGCTTTATGAATACTAACAAGCATTGGACATATTAAATCCTTCACACCCAATTCAAATTTTTTCTAAATGGGCTGAACAGGATCTTACATTTCTTCATCAGTTGATTGACAGGAACAACCTTATGTCATTTGAAGAGTTATGAAGGAATTTTCATCTCCAGAAAAATTATTTCTTTAGATCAGGGGTGTCAAACTCAATTTCACCGAGGGCCACTTCAGCATATTGGCCCCCTCAAAGGGCCACATTGACGGTACAAATCAGGAGTGCCCAGCTGCAGTCCTTCAGACTGCAACTTTTAGATGCATCCCTGCTAAAACACCCCAGGCAAAAGGTTGACTTCCCTCATTCAGTTCTGTAGAGCCTTATAATGAGTAAATGATCCAGGTGTGTTAGAGAAGGAACTAAAGTTGCAGATGGTAGCTCTGGAAAACTAGACTTGGGCAGCCCTAGCATAAAATGTATGAAAATACAATGTTAAAAATAAATTAAACACCTCATATTGTTAAATAACTCTTTGGAGCTTCTGGTTAGGAAGCGCATTCAAAACCTTTGTTTGAAATGGCGCGTTAAATTCAAGTCTCCATTACAGACCAGAGAAAACTAAAGAGAATGCAACGTTGTGTTAATCCATTTGATAATGGAAATATGTGGCGGGAATATAAATGGAAAATTATTGGCAGGGATTTCAGGACCCCTGATGTCGTTGCTAAGATGGATCTTAAATTATCAAGCTTGTGTTGGAGGATCTGAGGCCCAGCAGTCGCCAATCATACACACATTTTGGTCATGCCCCAAACTTCAAAGCTTTTGGGACGAGGTGATCAGGGCTACAAACCAAATCTTTCCAGACACCAAAGGATGTTACAGCTGCATTACTTGGTATTATACCAGCTGGTCTGCAAGGACCAAAGTACATCTGAAATGCATCACAATCAGGTGGATGCAACTGGAACCACCTTCCTACGACTTGTGGGTTCAAAAAGTAAGAGAATTATGTCAAATGGAAAAGATAACCTAGATTTCAAAAAGCTCCTTCTGTCCTGCGCAGAAGCTCTGCTGGTGTTTAGCCGTCCTGCCCAAAGTGAATCCTTGGGTTGTACGGCGATGAGTCTGCAGATGTGATGCTGAGGTCATAAGATGTTTATTTTATGGGAAACTTCATATTGTCAACACTTGTGTTATGTATTACTGATGTATGGCTGCATAACTGCTCTGTAAAAATAAAAGTGTAAGTTCTGAAAACAAAAAGTAATCCATGTGCCAAATATTGCTTTATATTGCTTCCAAAAGAAAAAAATGAAGATCTTTTCCATCTCATTTGATTATACAGTGGTTTACACTAATACTTATCATTTTCAGCAGCATTAATTAAACACCATCACTATTTTCCAGTTTATTTTAAACACTGTTTTAAGAGTTTCCTTATTATAAATGTTTTTCTAAATTTGTCATGTTCTGTATTTATTTAATACTATTTTTTGTTCAGTCACTTGATTTAATTATGCATTGACAGATTTTCACTTCTCCCTTTTTCTCATTGTTTTTGTTTATTATTTTTTTATTTTCTTCATGTTCTCTTTTCTGTTCAGATCATTTAAATTCAAAAGGAAACAGGACAAGAAAAAAATGAAAAATTAATCCAAAAAAATAAAATGGGGAAAAAAATGGAAATAAACAAAGGAGAAAAGATGGAAAACCTGGAGAACATAAATCAACGTATGATCAAATCAAAGTAAATGTAGTAGATATTAAATTAGTACAGAATATGAAAAAATTAATTAAGAAGTAAATTAGTAAAACAAAAATATTTGTCAACCTGTATAAGAAATTAAGTTTAGAAAGTTCTTATTTATGAATATTTAACACATTAATTACATCATCAAATCATTTTGATTTTGGCAGGATCAGCCCTCCATACAGATATAACCCAGCCTGAGGGAGCAGTCACAGCTCAGGAGGCGGGGCCTGTTTCCCTGCTGCTGATTGGCTGTAAATGGCCAGACTCTGCTCTCACCTGAGACTCGTGAGGCTTCCAGCCAATCATGTAGAGGATCTGGAAGGTGGCGGGAACTGACCCGTCCGGGTTTCCGTACATCTCTGAAATGAGACGGACAGGATGAAACGTCCCGCTGGTCCAAGATCAGTCCAGATTAATCCAATCCGGTAGATTACAGGCATGAAGAGATTAAAACCTGGATTACTTCAAACTTTCTGCTTTAAATTCTTATCAGTTTTTGTTTTTGGATCAGAACCTCAGAAAAAGAATCTGGATGACCTTCACTTATCCTCCGATCATGAAGAGCCTCTGCGACATTTTAACCAGTCATTTAAGTCTCATTTTAACAAATTTATAGGATTTACAGAATATTGCCAACATTATAAACATTCAGTCCAGAAATAGCTGGAAGCTAATCCATAAATCCATAAATGATTACTGGAACTAACAGGAAGTTCATAAAGTCCAGTTAAAACCGGGTCCAAACGCTGCAGACGGAGTTCTGATGAAACTAAAACCAGATTTCTGCTGTTCAGCTTCCCGTCATGGCTCCCTGATAATCCAGCTTAGAATCTCAGGTTCCCACCTCATCATCCATCAGAGATCTGATTGGTCCAAAGTGCGTCTCCTCACCTTTATAGACGGCTGCAGCTGCTAGCATGGTGTCGCGGTGCAGCATGGAGCGCCTGTTCCACGCGCAGTTACTCTCCCCCATGCCTGCAGGGGGCGACATGTCTCAGTTTGCTGCCCTGCAGGAAACCTTAATGTTTGGATTTCTGAGCTCTGTACCTTGCAGGTCCGTCATGAGCTCCATGATTCCTGGATAATGAACCTGAACATCATCGACGTCCTGAAAACACAGAGGGGTCAAAGGTCAGACCACTTCACTGTCTGCTGCTTAAGGAAGAAATGTGGCTCAGCTGAGCGGTGGAAACTTTTATTGATCCATACAGAAACTTCCTGGTCTGCACCGAGGTCAACGCTTCAGCAACTACAGAAACCGTCCAGAACCAGAACTAATGCTAGCACTTAGGCTAACATTAGCCTTTTGGATCATTTTAGCATTGCTGCTACACACTGCTGTTTGCATACAACATGCAATATGCTACTACAGGTCAACATGCTAGTGTTAGCCTTCCTGCTAACGTCAGCTTTAGGCTAAAATTAGCAATTTAGCTCATTTTGATATAAATCCAAACTTGGAATGGACTGAGTCAAGATGAGTCCCTCAGAACCTCTAACAACTGCTGGATCGGGCCTAGCAGAACCAGAACCTCACCACGGTGAGCATGTTGAAGCGGGCCCGGCCCAGCAGGTTCCCCAGGTCGGTGACGGCGGTGTAGGGGGAGACGTGGGGCGAGAAGCCGCCCTCCCGCTCCGACTGGGCCAGCTGCAGCGAGCAGCGCAGCTCGTACAGCGTATCCCCACCCGCCATGGCGCCGATGAAGACACCGTCCGGCTTCAGGACTCGATGGATCTGTTGGGAGAACAGCATGAGGGCGGAGCCGACCCAAACAGAACCACACACAGAACCTCTGACCGTACCTCGCTGAGCACCCTGGGAAGGTCGTTGATCCAGTGGAGGCTGAGAGGAAAACGAGAGTCGCTTCAGACAGCAAGACTACAAACTAAAGGGTTAAATCTCATCTAAATATTTAGTTGATTAAATATTTCGGGTAAATCTGACTAAACATTTAGCAAGCTAAATATTTAACTTGCCAAATATATTTAGTTAGATATATATTACCTGAAATATTTTCTAAACTTACTACATATTTAATAAGCTAAATAGTTACCTAAATATTTAGCTTGCTAACTAGATGTTTAGCTTACTAAGCTAAATATTTAGTTAAATATTTAACTCAGAATTAAATACATTTAGTTTAGAATCATGACATTTATAAATATGAATATAGATAAAACACCGTTTAAAGAATGAACACCCATAGTTTTTCCTTTGTGACAGGCTAAATAAATCAAATTATTGCTGTTATTGTTTTACAGTGTAACTTTACAAACAGGATCCTGTACAGAACGGAAGTCCTCCACACCACTAGGGGGAGTCTGGAGTAGATAGTTTTATCTAATATGCTGCAGTTCTGTAATACTGTAAAAACCCGCATGTTTGAAAATGACATGAAGAAAAGCTAGACTAACATGTCTTCCTCTGTTTCTCCTGGACGTTTGGTGTTTAGTGTCTGACTCCCCCTACTGGTCTGGAGGACTTTCTGTTTGCAGCGTTTTTCTGCTGCGTTTGTTTCCTTGTGTTTACGTGTCAATCGTTGTTCTGTTTGCCTCCGTATCGATCTGTTCCCTGATCCATCTCACATGTAAAACCTGATGAGGTCAGACCTGAGCTGAGCGCCCCCTGGTGGAGGAAGCCGGGCTCTGCAGGTAAAGCTGCGTCTCACCTGAAGCTGCTCACCACCAGGTGGAAACTGTTCTCCCTGAACGGCAGGAACTCCTCATCAGCCACAACGCTCCGGGTGGGAATCTCCGACCGCCGGCCCAGCTTCTGAAACACAACACAGAGAACTGGTTCCGCTGGGATGAACCGGTTCCGCTGGGATGAACCGGTTCCGCTGGGATGAACCGGTTCCGCTGGGATGAACCGGTTCCGCTGGGATGTGGGTCAGGACTCACCAGAGCCTGCTGGGAGACGTCAGTCAGAACCAAACGCTGCACCACTTCCTGGAACATCAGAGAGGAAAAACTCAGCCAAAACTGGAAGATTTTCCCAGTTGACAAGATTCCCAGTTCAGGCTGGAGCTGCAGGATGGAGGAGTCTCTTCCTCACCCTCCTCTTCCTCACCTTGCTCAGATGTTCTGCTATGTAACTTTTTCCTCCTCCCATGTCCAGAGCCAGGGGAAACGACCTGAGGAAAGGACAAACGGATCAGAACCTGCCGGACTGGACTTCAGATGGAAACCAGTCAGATTTAACTGGTTTCATGGTTCCTGCTGGACCAGATCCAGAACCAGAACTCACCTGGCGATGTCATAAACCCGATCAGCCACTCGACTGCCAACCTGCACAACACAAAATCCAGATGAGACGGTTCCTCCTGGAGAACCAGAACCGGTCCAGAACCAGACCTGAAGAGTCCAGAACCATCAGGTTCTGGTTCTGATGGTTCCATTACTGAACTCAAGAGGAACGAAAACCTAAAAACATTTTCAATAACAATCCAAACTGAACTCCATCATCAGAACCGGACCGAACCCCAGTTTCACCTCTTCTCTCAGGTAGTCGTACTGGTGTCCGTCCTGCAGAACCGCGGCCCAGTTCTTCTGCCTCCTCTTCATCTCCCTGTTGAACACATTCATGCTGCCTGACCCAGAACCGGGTCCGGCCCCAGAACCGGGTCCGGACAGGGCCCTGCAGGGTCCAGATCTGAGCCTGCAGCAGCAGGAGGCCGCGGGGGTCCGGGACCACGCTGCCGGACCAGAACCGGCTCCCTGCAGGAGCTTCTGAATCCCCCGGCAGCTCATGGTTCCGCTTCCAGCCAGAAGTCCAACATGGCGGCTTCCTGCCCGCAGTGACCTCGGTGACCTCCGACCGCGGCCGGTCGGAAAACCCGGCAGGCGGATCCAAGCGGAGGAAATGGATCAGAGGCTGGGAGCGGAGCCGGAGTCAGATTACTGGGATTAAATTCACAACCTGGAAAAATAAAAACAAATAAAACCTGAAAATATTTCAACTGAAAAACTGGAGTAGAGAAAAAATAATATTTTCTATTTAATCTTTGGACCATTTAGGCTCATTAACATAAAACATGAAGCATCTCCGTGTGAATTTAATAAATAAAAAGACCTGAAATATGATTGAATTCATGATGAGCAATAAACACATGACTGTTTGAACTGCTTTATAGTCCAAAAACAAAATGAATCATCAAGTTTTTGTCACGCAGTTGGTAATAATAACTGGGTCATTTTATCATGTTATGGACATTAAATGCAATTAAAACTATTTTTTACCTTTTAACATATTTACTGGTTAAATTAAAGTTTTATTTAGAAACATAAAAACGTTTATTTTCTGATTATTATAGGAACTAAAGTATAAATGATTTGGATCATAAAACCCGAATCTGAACGTTCACCGAGGAATCCGCGGTTCGCGCTGTTTGTACCTCTCTTCGCGCCGTACTGAGTCAGAGGCCGAAGGAGCAGAGTGCATGCTGGGAAAACACGTGTGAGGCGGCTCAGAGAAGGTAACTTTTAATTTTATTTCCAGCCGCTGGTTCTGGTTCTGGTTCTGGTCGGACCTGCTAAGCCTCTTCTCCGCCGGACTCTGCGCCTTTTCTCTGGGTTTTAAACGAACCGGTCCGGTTCGGTATCAGACTTTAATTGGTCTCATATTTGGACCGAACTTTTCTGATCCATAAGATGTTCCGATAATCGGCTCGGTGGTTTTTAATGTTTCTGCTGTTCATTTCATCATAAACTGGTACAAAGGTTCAGTTCGTCATATTCACCAAGTAAAAACCAGCCGACGGAAAATGATAAACCAATCAGATTTGATAAGATTCGGTTGAATTATTTGTTGTGTGAATTTTCCACCGGTTCGGTTTGAAATATGTTTATGGATATTGAGGATGGAAGGATCTGCAGTAGCAGTCAGTCCTGCACCGAATCAGAAAAAGCCTCTGACTGAAGAAGCTTCTGCTTGACCGCCTCATGACCGTCATGACATGCTAACATGCTAACAGCTCAGTGTCTGCTGAGGAGAGATGATACTCCACAGAAACATACTGATGGCTCCATCAGCTGTTAGCTAGCTCTGCTAATCCGCCTCCTTTGCTTTTGCTGCTCCTCTTTCAGTTTGTCTGGTCGTTTGGTTAGAAGGACGTCAGATTCTGGGATGTGATCCTCTGAACTTTCTCCTTCAGGTTTTATTTGAGCTTTTCAGATGCCAATCAGCTGATCCCAGGTGCAAAAACTACACCTGGTTGCCATGGTTACCCAACATAAAAGCAACAGTAAGATTAGAGCAGCAGGAAAGAAATTTTCTCTGGATGTTTTCCTAACGACTAAACCAGAGGAGAGTCATGAAGCTTAAGGTTCTCCACCTTTACCTGCAGTTCTGCTCCTGTCCTGCAGGTGGCGCTGTGCTCCCCCCCAACATGTCGTCCAGGAAGAAGCAGGCCGACGATGAGCGGTTCTGCCGGGTCCAGAAGGACCCCAGGTTCTGGGAAATGCCAGAGAAAGAACGCAAAGTCAAGATCGACAAACGTTTCCAGTCCATGTTCCACGACCGGCGCTTCCAGACGAAGCAGACGGTGGACAAGAGAGGACGACCCGTCCAGCTGTCCACCGCCGCCGACCTGAGGCGCTTCTACCAGCTGGAGGAGGAGGAGGATGAAGAGGAGGAGGATGAAGAGGAAGAGGAGGAGGAGAATGAAGAGGAGGAGGAGAAGGAGGAGGAGGACGTCCAGAGACAGAAGAAGAAGCATCTTGGACGAGGAAGCAGAGCGGCAGAGAAAGGTCAGAAGAATTTTTCATCCTCTGATTTCACATCTATTTATTTCTATGAGACGTTTTCATAACGAATATCGTCTCCAGGGGAAAAAAATCGTCTCAGTCAAACAAACGTTGGGCTCAATCGGCTCGTTTAAATAAAGTCAGAGATGAACTTTTATTTCCTCTTGTTTAGTTCTTTATGTTCTAAAGAATGACAGCTAAAGCTAACAGAGTTAGCATTCATGTCTTCCTCAGATGAAGAAGAGGTGGAGCATCAGTCAGGAGATGATGATGATGATGATAATGATGATGAAGAGTCTGGTCTGGACTCTGAGGATGACAGCGGACCGGATCTGGCCCGAGGAAAAGGAAACATGGAGACCAGCTCTGATGAAGACGAGGATGATGATGATGTGGACGACATCCTGAGGAAGGAGGAAGAGCAGATCGAACACGACTGGGGGGAGCTGTGCAGAGACGCTCCACGGAGCGAGCAGGTGAGGCGGCGCGGAGCCCTAACGAGGTCCTAACGAGGTCCTAACGAGGCCCTAACGTGTTCTTAACGTGTTCCAGGTTTCTGCTCGGCTCGCTGTCTGTAACATGGACTGGGATCGCCTGAAGGCCAAAGATCTGCTGGCTCTGTTCAGCTCCTTTGTGCCTAAAGGGGGCGCTGTGCTGTCTGTGAAGGTAACTGTGCCTGAGAGACAAGACCCAGGGTTCACATGGCCCTCTGTTGGAAGCCGCCATGTTGGATCAACAATCTGATTTTATTCTACCCACACACAGAACCAAACCAGATTGGCCTGTTTGTCCTGAGTAACAGCAGTGCATTGTGGGTATTGTTGTCCAGATTTTCCCGTCAGAGTTTGGGAAGGAGAGGCGGAAGGTGGAGGAGACGCAGGGACCGCCGGAGCTGAAGGCGTTGCCGGACGATTCAGAGAACGAGACAGAGGAAGACAGGTGACTTGGGGCAGCCCAGCAGCCCTGCTGCTGGGCTGCCCCCTGCTGGACGCTCTGCAGTACGCTCTGCAGCTCATCTGCTGTCAGTGTGGAGGATCTTACTGTTAGCGGGCAGACGTTCTGCTGTTAGCGGGCAGACGTTCTGCTGTTAGCCGACAGACGTTCTGCTGTTAGCGGGCAGACGTTCTGCTGTTAGCGGGCAGACGTTCTGGGTCCAGATGCTGCAGTGGTTCTGTTGCTCCTCTCAGGGTCTACAGAGAGAAGCTGCGGGATTATCAGTTCAAGCGTCTCAAGTATTTCTACGGCGTGGTGGAATGCGACTCTGTGGAGACGGCGGTGAAGATCTACGAGGAATGCGACGGCTTCGAATACGAGAGTAGCTGCTCGGTTCTGGATCTCCGGTACGATGACGAATTCAAACGTCCCGACCCGGGTTTCGTTTATTAAACTAGAGTTTCTAAGCTTCTTTCACTCAACAGTTTTGTTCCTGACGACGTGACATTCGACGAGGAGCCCAGAGACGTGGCGACGGACGTCAACCTGACGGCGTACACGCCCAAGCTGTTCACCTCGTCTGCTGCCGCCTCCTCCAAGGTCAGAACCGCACCGGCTCTGAGCTGACGGGACCAGAAAACCCGTTTCATAGTGGAACTGAGCAGACTCTCTGAAGTCAGTTCATGAACTAAAGCTCCAGACCAGAGCAGCTGGTTCTGGTCCGGTCCGGTTCCTGAGAATGAATCAGAAAACACATGAATATACTGCTGAAGTTCATCCATTTAGTTTGCTTTACATCTCATTACTATCAATGGTTTAAATCGCAAATTTAAAGTTTAGTGTGGAATAAATTCTGATTATTAATCTAATAAATACTAATGAGCTGATCAATAGTCTGATCATGCTTGGATCTTTTCTGGACCAATCAGGTGCAGCTGACGTGGGACGAGACGGACCACGAGCGCGTGACGGCTCTGAACAGGAAGTTCAACAAAGAGGAGCTGCTGGACCTGGACTTTAAGGCCTACCTGGCCTCCTCCAGTGAGGAAGACGAAGATGAAGAGCAGGAGGAGACAGGAGGAGGTGAGGATCGAGAAAAGTTTTCTGGTGCTTTAAGGAGACGAAGTTGTGGTGAGCGGTTTATTTCAAACAGAAGAGCCGATTGGAGAGGAGCTGGAGGAGAAACCTGAGGAGAAACAGAGGAAGAGGAGCGAGGAGCAGATCAGTAAATACAGAGAGCTGCTGAAGAGCATCCAGAGCAAAGACAAGAGGCAGCAGGAGGACATGGAGATGGAGATCAGCTGGGTTCCAGGTACCAGGAGGAGCCGCCTGCAGCCTCTCGGCCCGACGGCAGAGCGGCTCATTGTCCTCCTCCTCAGGTCTGAAGGAAACGACGGAGCGGCTGGTGAAGAAGAAGCTGGAGGCCAAGGACCAGCCGACGCCCTGGGAGGAGTTTCTGCAGAAGAAGAAGGAGAAGAAGAAGCAGAGGAAAAATGAAAGAAAGCAGGTAAGTGGCGCCTCCTCCTGCCAGAGCTCTGAACTGCAGGCCGTAATGATTCTAACGTGACGTTTTCTCCATCAGGGAGCCGAAGAAGAGCTCAGTGATGATGAGCTTCCTCCTGATGTCGACCTCAGCGACCCGTTCTTCTCAGACGAGCTCGGAGCATCAGGTGACGTCCCCGCATGACGCTCGGTTACCACGGTGACAGGAGTGGAGCGGCTGTTCTGGCCGTCGGTGTTGAAAACATTCGGTCACGGCGCTGACGTCTGCTCCATGTGGCTCGTCAGAGTGACGGAGTTCATCCTCCAAGGAGAGGAAACCCGAGACTCGAGCCCTTCTGCCAACAGCAGCTCTGTAGTTTGAGTAAAAAGATCCGCAGAGATTTTATTACAGTCTCATGATTCTGACTTAGGGTTAGAATCACAATCTGCCACCTTGTTCTACTGTAAACTTTAGACAAACATGGACAAAACGTCCAGATATTTAAAGCTGCATGTTGAATCAAACTTACTGCAGTTTGTTTTAGTTCTGAAATTCGGTTAAAATCATTTGTGCTCGTCTTTAATGACGTGACCCCTGACTGATTCATGTTTCAGACATGAAGAAGAAACAGAAGAAGAAGAAACAGAAGGAAGAGCAGATTACGGCCGAGGAGGAAGAGGAGCGGCAGAAACAGAAGGTGCAGAATGATTCCCAGCCGGATCGTCCTCCGACTCCCAGAGTCTCATCTGTCTGCTTGCTTCCAGGCCCAGATGGCTCTGCTGATGGAGGATGACGATGATGAAGCCAAACACA